AGAGAGAGAGAGAGAGAGAGAGAGAGAGAAGGAGTAGCGAAAGCTTGCGGGCAAAACAAAATGGCAACCCGCATAGTTTGGCTCGACTCGAAAAAGCGAAATAGCCCTAGCATCTTTGTAGATGATCAAATTAGTTTACTTTTGACCAATAACATTTTTTTTTCTCTGTTTTTGTCAATTTGATCATCCACACTGATAAACAGTAGATTCTATTCACTATTCAGAAATTAGGAAAAACAGGTCTTATTTCAAACCGGGTGAGAATAGCCAACGCTGGCAAGTCTCATCCAGGGTGAGAGGTCGATCATATTTTTATTCTCACCCGGGGTGAGAATAGCCACTTCCATAAATTTAGATCTAGATTCTAGAAGGCCTAGACTCTAGATCTACTATGATCTAGATCTAGATCTTGAGTCTTGAATCTAGTCTAGATCTCCAGTCTTAAAACAATTTGACTGACACAAAATCACAAATTAATTAGCCTAGAATCTAGGACGCTTTTTCGGTAGTTCCCACCCCGCAATTCATGTCATGGGTTTAGGCCCCAAGAGTAGGGGGTCTCAGGGGGGCTTGCCCCCCTGACCTAAGGTGGGGGGGTTCCCCCAGAATAATACCACAATTTAATGTTTTGCGGTTGTTAGGTTTGATATCTTTTTAGCTCGCTGCAAATCAAACGTATAGATGTAGATCTAGATCTAGGTCAGGCTCAAATAAGGGGGGTGGGAAAGTACCGAAAAAGCACCGAATCTAGATAGATCTAGATTGTACATCAATTTTTAAAAATTGCATTCATATCTAGATCTAGCTAGAATCTTTATCTTGATCTAGATATCTAGATCTAGATTTCTAGATCTAATCTAGATCTAGATCTAAAAAATCTAGATCTATATCTAGATCTAGATCTAGAATCTGGTAAGATTGTTGAAGAATACCGGACCAGCGGACTGACTTTGCCTATGTCTCAACTTTAGGAATTCATAATTTTCCCGTTTTTAATATCTCTCAATCAAGAATCTCGGACCGGTAGATTTATTCATTAAGAATTTTGTCAGGGGGGTGACCCCCCCCCCCCCCCCCCCCCTCCTCCTCCCCAACCACCCGCCCCACCTACCCCACTTTCTCGAGCAATAATAATGTACGAGTGGTCCGGTATTCTTCAATCTTCCCTAGAATCTAGATCTAGAATCTAGATCTAGATCTAGATCTCTAGAGTCTAGATCTAAACTAGATCTAGATCTCTAGAGTCTAGATCTAGATCTAAACTAGATCTAGATCTACATCTCTAGAGAAGGAATATTCAACAAAGTACAAAGTAGGCCCTAGATCTAGCCCTAGATTTCAATGATGAGTACAACAGATTAAACAACATAAATCTAGGAGCAACAACAAGTTAGACCGAGACAATCTACGTTAAGATAAGCAGAATTTTAAAATAAAACGAGATGTCATTCACAAGTTAAACAGCTTCAACAGAAGAAGAGTTGCCAGTAATAAACAGTGTGAATGTGTGTAGATCTAAACTAACAGTGTGTTGAGTTTGTTGTCAACCCAGTCTCAAGTCTCAGTCAAGTGTGCTGGATTGTTATTGGGCGAACAATGTTAATTAACCCCTTACCTCGATTTGAACTCGCTGAGCCATTATTTCCCATTTTCGGTTTAAGCTCAATGATGCCTTAATTTTCACATCATCAAAAGGTATACAGTAAACACTCAATATTCTCACAGCTGATGATAGATCGTTTCACCACTGAGAGGGAAGGGGGAAATCCAATGTTGCTACCGGATGTGGTTAGGAGGAGGCTGAAACGCTAAAATTAGTTCAGAACGAAAAAGAGTTCCCCGTGCTGCGCAATAAATTTTCCACACCTCGGCCAAAGTTGGCCAAAGTAGTGACGATAACGTAGAATGAGTAACGAGTAGGCCTAGGCCTAGTGCGAATATATGATTTGCCTTGCATCATTCCGTATGAAAAGATAAAGACCACAAAGGGCTTTGCACTGTCCTGAAAAATCAGAGACGAAGGAAATATAATACTGTAAATGTAGGCTTACAATACGGGCGCGGAATCCCTAAAATGGGAAGAAAAACCAAAAGCACTATTGTTTCGCTTTAAAGGGCATTTTGAAGAAACAGAACTAGATCTAAATCAATTTTTCAAAGATCAATGAAATAGATTGAGATCAGATGAGAAGTGGACGGTGTTAACTCGAAAGAAAGAACGACCGACACAGTAAAACAGTTGGCCAGAACGACATACTCCGTAACCGTTGTCGTTTCCGTTTACTTCAACCAGAAGGACACATCGTGCCGATTTCACCACCTCTAATTATTACCATAACACTGTCTACCGTTTCAACTATCTTTAGCTATTTGTCCATTCTTTACTACTATTTTTTTTTCTCATGTTCTCGTTCTACACCCCCCTCTCTCGATCTCGATCTCTCTCTCTCTCTAGTCTCTCTCTCTCTCTCTCTTTCTCTCTCTCTCTCTC